TGTCCTGTACCCAAAAGGTGTGCTATACACCCCTATATTGTGCCCATAATGCGGGGAGCACCACAACCTCCCCTTCCCTCTCCCTCTTTGACTTGAATTGAAATGAGTCTTTCTCCTATGTAGGTGTGAATTAGATCACCTACTGGCTTCATATTAGTACTGAGGTCTGTTATTTCTTTGAATAAACTTTCTACCCCAATTTCTCTCTATATTTCCTCTTTAAGCCTTGAAACTATTAGGTTTGCCTTTTTGAGGGTTTTTCTATATCTTTAGGCATGCTTTATTCTTTTTTATTTTTATGACTCTATATTTTTGTATAGTATATCTACAAGCCTCACTCATTCTCTCTTCCGCTTGATCAATTCTGCTATTGATATGCTCTGATGCATTTTTCAGTGTTTCAAATAAATTTTTTAACTCCAGGATTGTGTTTACATTTTTAAATTATTTCAGTCTCAGATAGGATTGTGAATTTCTTTCATGTATTGTCTTGAAGTTCATTGAGCTTCCTCAGAACAGCTATTTTAAATTCTCTATCTGAAAGGTCACATATCTCCATCACTCTGGGATTAGTCACTGGTGCCATATTTTGGAAGGCATCTATGCTAGCCACTATACCACCAACATCCACTTGTTGCCATATTTTGTTCATTTGGTGAGGACATATTTTCTTGGATGTTCTAGATGCTTATGCATTTTTGTCAATGTCTGGGCAATGAAGAGTCAGAGAAGACTAATTCTTTTTGTTGTGCTTGTTGAGAAGGGTTTCCAGGTATTCAAAGAAAAGTGAGTATTGTGGTCTAAGTCTTTGGACACTGCAGCCATATCAGCACTAAGGGACATGCTAAGCCCTATAACACCTTGCTTCTTGCAAACTCCTGGTGGTAATTCCTTGATTGGCTTGGTAAGATATTAGGAAATTTCCTAGATTACCAAGCAAAGTCTTTCACTCTCTTCTCTCACTTTCTCACAAACTGAAGGAGTCTCACTATACATGTCATACAACCTGGAGTTGGGGGGAAGGGTGACAAATGTCCTCCCATGGCCATCATAGCTGAGACTAAAGCCAGCACAATACTGGGTCTCACAGGGCCTGCATAACTACTACCTGGCTACTGTTAATGTTTTTCCAACCCCAAGGGCTCTTTAGTCAGCAGGTGATGAATCTTGCCAGGACTGAGTCATATTTTAAACTTTAAATTATAACTCTTTCAAACTCTAAACATTCTATGAGTGGCCTAAATTGACCTAGGTCTTTAGTGGAGTAGAAGGAAAAGATGATTGTTATGATTTTATTTTTACCCAGTTCATTTCAATAATTTTCCATGGGCCCTGTTGTTGGCCCTCTATTATGTTAAGTTGTCTTTTTAGTGATCTAGTGGTAGGCCAGAAGCAAGCAGACATCCTAAAAGATCAGCTATCTTGGATAATCAAGACAATGCTAACCATATTTAGAAATGCATGATAGTGACTACTATGGTCTCCAAGGATATTGATGACATAATTTGTTATAAAATAATGTGGCTATCATTACTAGTTGTCATTTCTGGAAAGGTGAGTCAGTGCCTGGGTTCTATAGGAGGTTTACTTCCCTGGGAGGGGTCGTGGTGAGCAGACAGGGTAGGGTAGCAGACTGGCACTTGCTTCAATATGTTTCACACTGATGGATCTAGTCTCAGTTAAATTAGGAAAGATAAGATAAGTGAGTGGATTTTTCAGAGGCTATTTACTTAATTCATGGTTCCTATAGAAGGCATTTTTCTCAAGAGAAAATTGGCCTCCCAAATATCAGAAATAGTAAATAATTACTGATTGAATGCCCTACCCTAATAAATGGGTTAATGAGCTAAGAATCTTACCTGAATGTTTAGCCTTTTCTTATTAACGTTTTGTTTTATTTTTTAATTTAAAAGTAAATGCAAGCTTTTTTAAAGTTTTAAAAATAAGAAAAATCATAAATAAGGCAAATACAAAGGAGAAATTCATTTTCCATGATTTTATAGCAAAGGTGATCATTTTTATCATTGCAGAGTATTACCAGGCAATATGTATGTGTGTGTATGTGCATGTATTTTTGTTTGTTTATTGTTTCTCTTTTATTATGTTTTTTAAAATATTTTTGTTTGTGTTTTCTTTCTGTATTTTTAAAATTAATTTCTTTTTATATTAATGAGAATATATGGTACATATTGAATCAGAAGTTAGTTCATAAAGCTTCTACTATGCATCAAGTTTAGTATAGTGTGGAATTTTGGAATTACAGACAGGTACCTGTCATCCTTCCCATGATAAGCAGAGATACAATAGTATACAACCAGGGTAGTTCTCCTTATAGGCTGTCTGCATTTAAGTTCCTTTCTCCATACTGTCTTTGGGAAGAAATACCTTGTAGGTGTGAATGGGTCAGAGTAGATACCATGCTTTGTGGTAAACGTGACATGCAGCCAGTTCCTCCTACCAGGTCAGGGTCTTTTGGGCTCCAGGCCAGTGTATTCAGTTATCCTCTGCTGAAATATTCCAGAAATGAGCTGCAACATTGTTTCAGTTGGAGGCAGAATGCTGTGTCGAAAGGGACATGGTTCCTGCATTAGTGGAGTCAGCAGATTTCACCTTTTAGTACACTTGGTGGAATGTGGTATTGGATTAGTTTCAGAGAATACCCAGAGAACCCAGAGGGATCTCCTTGGACAGAACTTCTCAGTTGCAAAGGTGGTCGGTCTGTCCATCACTTTAGGGGCTGGTCTAACAATAGGAAATGACAAAAGCCCCCATCTAGGCTTTCATACTGACTAGGCATCTTGATGTTGAGGTAAGGCTGTGTTTTCCATTTGGAAGCTGACTGATTAAATGACATTTGTCTTTACTCTTTCCAGAAGCAGGAGGAGCCAAAGGGACATTGTTGTTTTCCAAGTACACAGACAGCAGCTGCACCCTAGCTTCTAAAAATTGATAGGAAGCATGTAATACTATCCACACAGCTTGTGTATCCATTTCATGTGCCCTCTTTCTCTAGATATGCAATATAAAAAAAAATAGCAGCCACCTCATCTATTGCTTCCATGGTGGTAGTGGCTGGGGGAGGCCTTGGAACCTTAAATTCCAAGGAACACATCCAAACCTCTCACCTCTGAATGGATGAGAATTATGCCTCTTTATGGAATTCTGTTGGACTGTACTTGGAAATGGACTCTTCAGTCTAAAGGATTGCTCAAATCAGGGGAATACGTTGAGCTCCCAAGAACCAATAAATAGAAATTGGATTGCTTTGGTAAAACCAATTGTCCCAGGGCATCTAGGGATTCTGGAGAGTTAGATAACCAAAATGTAAAGGGGATAAAAGGAAGAGTAGTGAGTCAAAGGGGGAAGAAATTAGTCCACAGTTATCTAGGACAGGCACCACTGTATGCTTTTTGGTACTGGTGATGACATTGAGCAGGGGCAGACAGTAGTGTTTAAAGGCAGAGTATGGAGATAAACTTGAATTTTCTGTGTTGCTCTGATTTCTTTTTATTTGTCTATCTTGGATTTATCTTTGCCTACTCTTTTACTTATAGATTTTATTTCAGAATATTAGGGGGTGCATGTGTTTTGTTTACATACATAATTTTTTTCATAAATTGAGTAGAGGTTTCAAGGATATCCCCAACCCAGACAGCGTGCATTATACCCAGTAGGTGTTGATTTACTTACCCATTCCTCCTCTCTCTTCCAGCTTGATTTTCATTGAGATTTACTCCTGTAAGTGCACTTAAATATTGATCAATCAGATCTAACCTGGTATTGAATACATGTATTTGATTCTCCCTTCCTATTCTTTTATTTTTAATTTGTGTCATTTTATTTTAGGCATGTTTCTTATAAATCACTGAATAATTTATAAAAACAAATAAACTATTACATTTAATAAAAAGGTTTAATCATTTAGAGATTTTCCCACCAGAACTATAGTGGATAGTCTTAAAACTGACAATATTTTTAAAGGTTTTAACCCTTTTAAGATTACTTTATTTTCATATTCTTACTTTAAAATTTTCTGTTTGTATATGTGTTTCTGTGTATATGTTTGATAGAGAATGTGCTATTAGCTATGAAGAAATGATTTGCTTTATTTTCTACAAATATATGAGAGAGATTAATTTTTAATTTATATACTACTTATTCAACATTTTTGAATGTAAATGTTGAATAAGTCTGTATTTATTTAATGTAAGCCTGTATTTATTTAATTTATCTAAAACAAAGGCAAAACCTTTTTTGCCCATGGAAAACACAACATTAAGCCCTTTCTGTAATTCTTGCCCCTCCTTTCTATTCTTTGATATTTTCTTCCAGAATTATGAACACTGTATTCTGAGTGAGTTTTTAGAATTATGTACTAATTCACTAATCCTCCTTACAACCATAAGCAATCTAGGGCTCATCTCATTTACTGAATTGCTCAAAGACATTTTTCTGTCTCTGTCAGTGTTTTTTAATTCTCTAATATGAGCCCCTTTTTGTGTATTATGATCAAAGTGCTGATGTGGAGTGGTTAGGTAAACTCCTGATTCCTGGATGATGGAGGATATTTATCCTTATTTTCAGCATTGTTGTTTACCCACTCTTCCCCCCCCCCCCAATTTTGGAGTTTTAGCTTGTATTTTAAGTGAATTCAGAAGAATTACCCTGACATCTTCTATCACCCTGACACCTACCAAGAAGCCAATTTGCTGTCTTTTCAACAGAATGGGAAATAATACTCATTTTACAACCCAAGGTCTTTGAGCTTGGGAATACTGGGGTTGGGCACCATGGAGGGGTTGGAAAGAGGAGCAAAGGCTCGGTGAGGTTCATGCTGCAGCAGAAAATGTCACTGTTGCATGGACTTTGGGGTATAGAGTATCAACCATGAGAATACTTTTCATTTCTTTGTAACCTCTGTAATTCCCTTGGATCATTTTACAAAATGGGTCTCCAGGAGAGGTAGCTTCCTTTTCTCATTCTTCTTTGTCCCACTGTAGGTTTTCACTGGCATTTTCATAGCAGAAATGTGCCTAAAAATTATTGCACTCGATCCCTACCATTACTTTCGCAGAGGCTGGAACATTTTTGACAGCATTGTTGCTGTTCTGAGTTTTGCAGATGTGATGACCAATAAATCTTCAAAACCAAGATGGCAATTCTTGCGTTCCTTCAGAGTGGTAAGGCACCTTCTTATTTTACTGCATAACTTAGCTGTACAAATTTGAAAATAATCTTGAGAGAGGTCACTTGTTATCCTGGACTAAACTTTAATTCATCTTACTTAATCCCAGAGCCAAAACTGGCTTTCCTCTTCTTCCCATCCAGGTCTTTAGTAGTTTCAGGAGTTCCAAGGGTACTTTCTCTTGGCTAAACCTTTGAGCCCCCTCCCATATACACCCCCACAGATGACCCTTTAGGCAACCAGATGCCAAATTGTGTCTCCCGGTATCAAGACTCTCTGTCTTGCTTTGTGCACAATCCCTACAATACTCTCCAACCCCATGGAGCTCTGAGGCAGGTATCTTCACACTGAATCCTCCTGGGGAGGTGAAGACTATTAAGCCCATGAGAAGAAGGGTGCTGCTAGCAAGTGCTGCTTGACAACAAGGTCCCTTTTCACTGCTGCCAGGGGCACATTCTTGTTCTGTAGTTTTACTGTCTATTTGGAGGCATCTGGCAACTTTTGCAGAGTATCTAATATAGGTCAACATGAGGGAACATACAAAGGTGAAGAAATCATCATCTTCAGGGAGTTTGCAGTGAAAGCCTGTATAAGACTGAACCAGAAGTGACCATAATGCCCAGTAAAGTGCGACAGAACCCAGAAGAGGTACAGATAGAAAACTACAGAGAAACCACATCTAAAGGGGGAATTGGGAAACCTCTAAAGTGGGCTTTTGTCTTTTTTAAAAGATATTTATTTTGGGGGAGGCATGGATAGGATTTCTAAGCCTATAGAGAAGACACTCACTTGATTTAGTGACACTGCTCAAAGTCAGGTATTATTAGGCCTCTCTAGAAATGCTTTATTGGCCCTCAGGTGAGCAAAATTGTATTTGCTTTACCATTGTTTAGACTTACCACAGCCATGTTCTGTGTTCCACTGCAAGGAACTCTGTGGCATTGTCTGTATATAAGAATACAACCATGATTTCTTCCTAAGGTTTCCTTAGTTCCTTTCTGAGTAGACAAGGACAGTTTTTCTCTTTAGGCCTAAGTCTTATTGGCCTACAACATTTCTATCCCCAAATTGTTAATTCTTAACAGGATTATGCTTTGTGGTGAAATCATCATTTTACATGGAAAGCTACTATAAGAAACAACCTTAAAGCTAATTGCTGTGTTTTCTCTAAGGCTGTTATTTTTATGGTCTATGGGGTTCCATGAATGAAATTTCTCTTACTTGTCTTAAATAGCTGTTCACCCTTCTTCTCCTAGGTAGAAAATGTCACATTACTCTCATCATTGTTAAAAGGCTTAGATTCAAACTTTCAGCCAAAATTATATAATGCAGAAATTAGCAAACTTCTTCCATAATGGTCCAGATAGTAAATATTTTCAGCTCTATAGGTCTATGATCTCTATTGTAACTATTAGGCTTTACTATTCAGCACAGAAGTGATTTGAAAATCAACAATATTGGCTATGTTCTATTAAAACTTTATCATTGGACACTGAAATTTGAATTTAATGTGATTTTCACATGTCACGAAATATCCTTCTTTTGGTTATTTTCAACTGCTTAACATATAAAAAACATTCTTATATTCATCAGGACATACAAAAAAAGTCAATGACCTGGATTTGGTACTCAAGCCAGGGTTTGCTAGCCTTTAGCACATTATATAGAATGAAACATTCATTTTGTATGCTCAATGAATTTTGTATGTATGCTCAATCACTATGCTAATCTGAAAGTCTTCATCGTTAAAAAAATAAGAATAAAATATTTCCACTTTTAAATCAAAAAGTAGATAGAGGTGAGTATGAGATTGGGACAGGGAATTGGGGATTATGTTCAGGATGGATCTGGCCTTGAAAAGAGTTTGAAAAGTGTTGTTTGGGAATATACCATTTGCTTTATAGATGAGAGGATGGAGTTTTTCCTTAACTGACTTTTCTTTAATTTTGTTTGCTGTTTATTTTTACAGCTGAGGATTTTCAAGTTAGCCAAATCCTGGCCAACTTTAAACACACTAATTAAGATAATCGCCCACTCTGTTGGAGCCCTTGGAAACCTGACTGTGGTCCTAGCTATTGTGATCTTTATTTTCTCAGTAGTTGGCATGCAGCTTTTTGGCTCTACATTCAAGTCTGCAAAGACAGAAGAACCCTGTGACACTACTAACCCATGCCCACGGCGTTGGCACATGGGGGATTTCTACCACTCTTTTCTGGTGGTATTCCGCATCCTCTGTGGGGAATGGATTGAAAACATGTGGGAATGTATGCAAGCAAATGGAATACCATTGTGCATTATTGTCTTTGTGTCAATTATGGTGATAGGAAAACTTGTGGTAAGTTTATTAGATTTCCCCCCTACCAAAAAAAAAAAAAACACACACATGCCTTAGCTTGTTTTGCAACACTTCACTGGTAAACATTATTATTCTAAATATAATGCTAAACAAAAATCTTAAATATCCATTTGACTTTAGTTTGAGGAAAGTGTGATGACCATGAAACAAAATCTCCATGGCACATTTGACTGTGTTTCATATATGCACTTTTTCAAAGCAAGAATTATTCCCATGTTTCTACAGTGTACATCTCTTTTCATGTAAAGACAAGAACTAGCTTTGAGGGTCCCTTGAGCTCAGGAGTTTGAGACCAGCCTGAGCAAGACCTATCTCTACTAAAAATAGGAAAAAAAATGAGCCAGTGCTATGGTTTGTGCCTGTAGTCCTAGCTGCTTGGGAGGCTGAGGCAGGAGGATCACTTGAACCCAGGAGTCTAAGGTAGCCATGAGCTAGGCTGATGCCATTGCACTCTAGCTTGGGCAACAAGTGAGACTCTGTCTCCAGAGAGAGAGAGAGAGAGAGAGAGAGATCCCAAAACAAAACCAACATTGAGCAAACTTTAATAGAAAGAGGAAACAAACATGTCTTGATGTCATAATTGGTCCCATGTTCTATCTCCAAACTTCTTGTTATGCTATTGTGTAAGCCGGGTTGAGTCTGTTACTTGAAGCCAGAAACACAGATATTTATGGAGAGGCTCATTAAATGAACACCAGTGAAGATATGATGAGACAGAAGACACACAGGATGCTTGAGCACCAGATCTTCAGGATCAAGTTGGAGCTATCATGAAAATATAATTAACTATCTACATATTATGGCTTCACCCTAAGTACCTAGTAAATGGTATATGTAGACAGTAAATGATACAAAAGTTTAGAAAAGCAGGACATCACCACAGGGCATGAGAGGACAGCATTGAGGAAGGATTTGTGGAAGATGTGATATGTAATAAGACCACTTAAGAGGCAAGGAGGACTTAGACAAACAGAGGAGAATTTGAGTGAAGATCCAGAGATGGGACTTCTCATGGAACTATGACTAGATCCATTCACACTCACAAGGCACCTCTCACCAGATAGATGGCTGTCTATCTTTGAGCTTATAAGAACCACAAATAAAAGAATTTGAGGAGATTAGGATAATGAATTGTAAGGTAAGTGTAACAAAAAACACCAAAGAAAAAAGTTGTTCAAATAATCTGAATTTAAAGCAGTATGTGTTTCAAAAGAAGAGTTGCAGATTTGGTCCAAACTCCTCTGGCTCAGCCCCAATACCTCATGAAGATTAAGGCAACAGAAGCTAAAGAAACTGTACTAAGTGTGAACTATACAAACAGGAGAGGACTGTACAACAGTCTTGGATATCAGATCCTTATACCTGTGGGCAATTCCAGTAAAAATCCAAGCTGTGATCCAGCTGAGTCCCAAGGAATGCACACTCTTAATTTTGTCCCTGATTATCCTGCTTTGTTTTATCCTGGCCAGGACCTACACATGCATGTTGTTTATACATAAATTGGATTTGGCTATTTACACCCTCTAAATTTTTCTTTTGTTCTATCTTATTATCTCTATCCCTTTCTCAATCTTCTCTTATTTATTTTAAAGACAAACTTTCTTGGGAGACAGTAGAAGATAGAACTCTCATTTGATTATGTTTTCTGAAAATCCACAGTATCCTTTGCTAAATTTTTCATTTTCTTTGTTACCCAATCCATTCCCAGGTACTCAACCTCTTCATTGCCTTACTGCTCAATTCCTTTAGCAACGAGGAGAGAGATGGTAACTTAGAAGGAGAAGCCAAGAAAACTAAAGTCCACTTAGCCCTGCTTCGGTTCCATAAGGCTTTTTGTTTTGTGATACACACTTTTGCACATTTCTATCGAAGATGGTGCAGGAGGCAAAACTCACCAAAGCAAAAAGAGATGAGAAGAGGTCCTGCTACAGAGAGCAAAGATGTCATTCCTCTGGTCACAGAGATGAAAAAGATCTCAGAGACCCAGGAATTTGGTATACTAACCTCTGCACCAAGGACCTTGGGCACTGGGCATGATCGGACTTGGCTGGCCCCACTTGCAGAGGAAGAAGTTGACATTGAATCTCCTGATGGAGAAAATGCACAGCCCATCACACAGCCTAAAGCTGAAAGACAGGTATGAAGGTTTGTACATAGACTTAGAGATTATACATAGTACAAAGCTAGAGTTACCAAAGGACACTGGTTGCCTGCCCTGTTATGAGCACTGTGCAGCCACTGGTACAAGATGTGGTGGCTGTTCTTTGATACCCACATGTACATCCCAGGGCAGGTCCTAATTTTGGTCCTGTGCATGTGGCATGGATGAGAAGTGTAAGAAGAGTTCAAAAGGGAGCAAGATAGGCTGAGGTGACAGGAAAAGAAAGTACTTTTGGTTTAACCCTGAAAGAAGTACAGAGCTTGGGTCAGTTGAAAAGTCAGGAAAGGGGATATAGAAGTTGAAGTGAATAGCCTGGTAAAAGAGACAGTGGTAGGAACAAACTTAGTCTCTGCAGAGACCAGTCTCATGAGAGAGGAGTGGTGGAAGTTGAGGGCTGTCAGGGAGTATGAATGCAATGGATGTTATCTTCATCTATTCAAGCTTCCCTAGCAAATTACCATAGACTGGGTAGCTTCTAAATAACAGAAATTTATTTTTCACAGTTGTGGAGGCTGGGAAGTTCAAGGTTAAGGGCCCTGAAGATTTGATGTCTAGTGAGGGCTTGCTTCCTGGTTCACCGATGGTGTCTTCTTACTGTGTCTTCACATCGAGGGCAAACAAGTTCCCTTGGGTCTCTTTACAAGGACACTAATCTCATTCATGAAGGCTCTGCCTTTATGATCTGATAATCTTTTAAGGGCCCCACCTCTTAATATTGTCACCTTGGAGATTAGGATTTCAACATATGAATTTAGGGGGCAGGGCACAAACATTCAAACTATAATAGATGCATGACATAAATAACAGATCTTCATTTTGTTTCCTGGAAACAGCACATACTTGGCTTTTATTTTTTTATACATTCAGCCAGCTTATGTCTTTTGAGTGGGGATTTCAATACATTCACATTTATTAGAGAGTATTTCTGTTTTCCTACTGCGTAAAAGTTTATTGTTCTGTTTTATCTCTTGAGCCAGTTTGGTGACTGGGCTCCAACCTTCAGCTCTTGGTGGTTTTTACACTGGTGAGAGTCTATTGTGCTGATCCATGTATAATGCAGGTCTGAGTACTTCCTGCAAGGCGAGTCTGGACTTGGCAAATTCCTTCAGCGTTTGCTCATCTGGAAAAGACTTATTTTCTCCATCAATGTGAAAGTTAGTTTTGCAGGATACAATATTCCATGTTGGTTGTTGTTTTATTTAAGAGGATTAAAGATGGAGGCCCATTCCCTTCTGGCTTGTAAGGTTTCTACTGTGAAGTCTCCTGTTACCATGATGGGCTTTCCCTTATAGGTCAGTTGTTGCTTATATCTAGCTGCTTGTGGAATTTTTCTTTAATTTTGATTGGCCAGGTTGAATACTATGTCTTAGAGATGTCCTATAAATCTTGAAGGGAGGGGGGTGGTTCGATAGAGGGCGAGTTAATGGTGGGACCTCACCTATGAAGCATATTGTAAGGGTACAAGTCAAATCTATCAAGTTTTGAACACAAATGTCTTAACACTGTGATTAAATAAATGAGGTGAAAACTATGTTAATTAGTAGGATGTAAGCATTCCAGTTTGTGCAAATAATCAACACATTGAATCCCACAAAGGCATAAGTGTATTCATGATCTATGTATATATGACTTAATAAAAAAAAAATAAATCCCCAAATCTCTACAGAGTTTGATGATCATCTTATATCTGGATGTCTGGATCTCTGGTGATACTGGGGGGAAATTTCCCACAATAATTCCCTCAAATGGATTTTTCCATGCTTTTAGCACTTCTCCCTCAGGGATACCTATGATTTCTTTATTTGTTCACTTCACATAGCCCCATATCTCTCTAAGTGATTGCTCCATCATGGTTGTTCTCTTCTCTGCCTTATTATATGATTGGGTTAGCTTGAGAGCCTCATCTTCAAGTGCTGAAATTTTTCTTTTCCTTGGTTTATTTTGTTGCTGAAACTTTCTGCTGCATTTTGAAAATCTCTGAATGACTCTTTCAATTAAGTTCTATTTTATGCCTTCTAATTTTGTGAAGCCATTTAGTGACTTTTTCTTGAATTTCCTGAAATTTTTTTGGCTTTTTTTTTTTTTTTTTTTTGAGACAGAATCTCACTATGCCTGCCAAAACACCTGGCTATTTTTCTGTTATTGTTGTTGTTTAGTAGCCCCTGGCCGGCTTCAAACCCACCAGCCCCAGTATATATGGCTGGCACCCTAACCACTGAGCTATGGGTGCAGAGCTGTTTTTTTGCTTTTTGTTTTCAACTTTCTCTCTAATTCCATTTATCTTATTTGCCATTCATATTCTGAATTCAATTTTCTGTCATTTTAGCAATTTCCTTGTAGTTGGAGTTTATTGTAGCTCCATTGTGATCTCTTGGAAGTGTTGATCTGTTTTGATTTTTTGGGTTCCTTCTCATCTGAAGCCTCTTTTTTCAATTTTGGGTTAATAGGTTTGTAGGCCTCTTGTTCTTTGCTGGGAACTCTCCTAATAGTTGTAAGATGTTCAAGCTTAGAGCTAGATGAGACTCTCTTCACTGAGGTTGGTGTTGTGGGGATTGCTCTGTCAAGGGTCTCCTCACTGCACAGCTTTTTTTTTTTCCTTTAGCACTTTGAATATATCATGCCATTGTGTTTTTTTGTTTGTTTGTTTTAAACTTTATTCACATTAATATGAGGGTAAAATTTTTAGGTTGCATTGTTCTCACTTCCAGGGTAAAGTTCTGTTTGTAGAAGAGCCCCTCCCCTAGGGGGCATGTTATACATCCTCACAATGTGCACATTAAGTGAGATCCCACTCATGCCTTCCCTCCTTCTGTGATACATCCCCCCCCCCCACTTCCCTCTATTACCGAACTGGACTATGATACTGAGTCATTGTTCTTATGAACATGTAATTGTTTATATATTGATTTCATATTAGTATGGAGTACATTGGATATTTATTTTTCCATTACTGAGATATTTTACTAAGGAGAATGTATTTCAACTCCATTCAGGTAAATGTGAAAGATGTAAGGTCTCCATCATGTTTAATGGCTGAATAATATTCCATGGTATACATATACCACAGTTTGTTGATCCATTCATGAGTTGATGGGCACTTAGGTTGCTTCTACTACTTGGCAATTACGAATTGAGCCACAATAAATATTCTAGTGCAAGTGTCTTTGTGGTAAAATGATTTTGTTCTTCTGGGTAGATACCTAGTAAGGTGATTGCAGGGTCAAATGAAAGGTCTACTTTTAGATCTTTGAGGGTTCTCCATACTTCTTTCCAAAAAGGCTGTTTTAGTTTGCAATCCCACCATCAGTGTAGAAGTGTTCCCTTGTCTCCACATCCATGCCAATATCTGTTGTTTTGGGACTTTGTGATGTGAGCTAATCTTGCTGGGGTTAGTTGATATCTTAGAGTGGTTTTGATTTGCATTTTTCTGATGATTAAAGATGATGAGCATTTTTTCATGTGTTTTTTTGCCATTCAATTGCCATCCTTGGAGAAGTTTCTGTTCAAATCTCTTGCCCATTTACAGAGAGGGTTGTTTGCACTTTTCTTATTGTTTAATGTGAGTTCTCTATATAGATTCTAGTTATCAGGCCTTTGCTAGATTCATAACATGTAAAACTCTTCTCCCATTCTATCTGTTTGCTCTGTGGTACTCTTAGTTGTGCAAAAGCTTTTTAGCTTGATAAAGTCCTAGTTATTTATTTTTTGGGAGGGGGGTCTTCCTCATAGTTTTTTCCCAGGCCAAGATCTTCAAGTGTTTTCCCCACACTTTCTTCTAAAGTTTTTATTGTTTTGTGTCTTAAATTTAAATCTTTTATCCAACAAAAACCAATTTTTGTGAATGGTGAGAAGTGCTGGTCCAGGTCCAGGCTTCTGCATGTGGATAGTTCTCCCAGCACAATTTGTTAAATAAGGATTCTTTCCTCCCCAGTGCATGTTTTTGTTGGGCTTATCAAAGATTAAATGATGATATGTACTTAAGTTTATCACTAGATTCTCTATACTATTTCATAAATCTATGTCTCTATTTTTGTGGCAGCACCATGCTGTTTTGATCACTATAGCCTTGTAATATAATCTGAAGTCTGGCAGCATAATGCCTCCAGACTTTTTTTTTTCATCCAATATACTCAATCCTACTATGAAACTAATATATAGCTTTCATATAAAAGCTGTAACTCAAGTATAGCCCAAGAATATGGGGAAAAGGGAAAGGGAGAGGATGGAAGGGGGAGGATGAGTGGAGGGAGAGTAATTGGTGGGACCACACCTATGGTGCATCTTACAAGGGTACATGTGAAACTTATTTTTATTTCTAAAAACTGTATTTGCTATTCAGAGTCTTTTCTGGTTGCATATGAATTGAAGTACTATTTTTTCAAGATCTTTAAAGTCTTATATTGGTGATTGAATGAGGATTACATTAAATCTACAGATTGCTTTGGGTAGTATGGACATTTTAATAATGTTGATTCTTCCAATCCATGAGCATGGTATGTTCTTCCATTTGTTGACACCTTCTACTATTTCCTTTCTCAAAGTTTCATCATTCTCTTTGTAGAGATCTTTCATGTTCTTTGTTAGATATATTTGCAGGTATTTCATCTTCTTTGGTGCTATTGTAAAAGGAATAGAGTCTTTGATTTTCTTCTCAGCTTGACAATTATTGGCGTATATGAAGCCTACTGATTTGTGAGTATTGATTTTGTAACCTGAGATGCTGCTATATTCCTTGATCACTTCTAAGAGCTTTGTAGTTGAATCCCCGGGGTTTTTCAGGTATAAGATTATGTTATCTGTGAAGAGGGAGAGTTTGACCTTCTCTGTCCCCATTTGAATTCCTTTGATCTCTTTCTCTTAAGTGATTGTGATGGCTAGGACTTCCAACACTATGGTAAATAGCAGTGGAGACAGTGGGCATCCTTCTCTGGTTCCAGGTTTGAGTGGGAATGCTTTTAGTTTTACTCCATGGTATG